CCCCAAAACCCCAAAACCCCAAAACCCCAGACTACTGATTTCAAATTCAATTAATATAAACATCTAGATAAATAAGTCAACAAATTTAAATTTGATTTAAATAATATTAAAAGATGTAGATCGATACAAAGTCTAACAACTCGAGATTAGAGATGATGGAAATAGATTAAGGGCACATGATACCTGAATTCAAATTCCCTCTTAAGAGAGATGGTCTATAAATAGAACCTTCTGACCCTAACAAATTCTGGGTTAAAATAGTAAAAAGCTTTAAAGAATGGACTGAGGATAGAATATTAGAGAAACTTGAAGAGCTAAGTGACAATTTGTGCGGCATTTAAAAGTGCACCTAGATCATTGATAATGAGAACTTTGATGATCTTTACTCAATGATCAACAGGCTAGACGATATCCCAGTCAGTGGAAGAGTCCAGATTCTAGAAGTCTTAAACAGCGGCTTGCAATAGCTTCTTAAATTGATTGATAAGAGTCAAATCCTCAACATTGATTCGGCATTTGAACATAGAAGAAGTCTTCAAAGCAATACAATGTCCTAGCTAATGAGTTTCAATACTTAGGGAGGTAAGATTGATGTAAACTAGATTAGAAATAGTCTTAAATCTTATTTGTACTTGGTGACATTTTTCCTCAGTGAAAACTCAAAATTGAAGGAAAGTAAAGAGACCTAGTCGAAGTTTCGCAAAAAGCCAAATCCTCTTGCCAGAACTGGTGGGAGATCAAATAGCAGTGCTCAGGATAAAAATGTTAACTATATGACTGATATGAGGGAAAAGACTGTCAAGTCACTAACTTACTTTATTGAAATGGTGGAGGAAATGGAACTCAAGTACCTCTGGAGAGATCAGAAAGTCGAAGAAGATTTTGTCAAATCTCTCATAAATATGTCATTCGACTTACTACTAAACCAAAACAATACTAAATTTTCTGAAGTTAAGGAGAGAATTTTCGCTATCTTGCAAATCTGCATGGAAAAGTTTGGGTCTGATTTGAAGTATATGTCAAGTCAAAATGCAACTAAAATCATTGATTTGTTGTATAATCAAGAGAATCTTGCTCCTCATATGGCAGACTTCGTAAGTCTGGTTAATGAGAAGATTGGGCCATAAATGCCAAATGAAATTTTAAGAGAGTTAATGAATCAGATATTCAAGTAAGAAAACAATCAACATGAGGGTCTCGGATTGAAAAACATTAGTATTTTTATGAGGAAACTTTCTAAAAAATGCCCTAAAATAATGTATCAGAACATTTCAACTCTTCTTAATTTGTTTGACTGTGAGTCTTACTTGCTACGTTAAGCAATCATCAAGATTCTAAGCAATATTATCATGTTTGTTCTCAACAAGATAGAGGACTAGGAGGATACTAATACAAGGGTAGCCTATAACAAAACCAAAGAAAAGTTTATAGAACAGATTGTAAAGAGATTCTTAGATAAGTCATCATATTGCCGTTCAAAAGCACTAAAATCAATCAGGAAGTTAGTTGAAAGTAATTCTATCCCTAGATCTAGATATTCTGAGATACTTGACCAAACTATCAGCAGACTAAGAGATTAGACAACTTAAGTGAGAAAAAATGCTCTTAAACTTCTTGCTTTTTTGGTTAATATGTATGGTGTAATCCTAAATGCTGACTTGGTAAAGGGTGAACAATTTCTTAAGATTCATTAAGTAAGAGAAGAATATGAATAAAATGTAAAGGACTTAAATGACTTAGAAGGTCTAATCAAAGAAAAGGCAAAAGTTATTCAAAATGCCAAGGATGTGATAATGAGTGATATCAAGTCTGAAAATCCTAAGGTAATCGAATAAGAAGTTTTAAGAGACAAAAAAATACAAAACTTATTGAAGGAGGTCAGTGAATTATAAAACACCTACAGAGATAATGAGCAGATTTGCCTGCATCTGCAGGAGTATCTTAAATTTCTAGAGCAAATTAACTAGTCTTCTAAATACTTGATTATGCTTCTCTCAAGTAAAACCTAGTATGATACTATTGAGACAGTCAAGCTCTTCTAGTACCTCTACTTATTTGGAATTGAATCTGCTGATGAAGGTATCAAAAAGATGCTTACTTTGCTGTTTTCCAAGGATATTGCAGTTTCAACTGCTGTATTTGAATGCTATTAAAAATTATATTTTGATACCAAACATACTTCAGACCTTAAGGCTAGAAATTTAGTAGACATGCTGAAAGGTGCTAATCTTACTCATCTTACATGCGTAGAAGAACTCATTAAAAAGTGCTTAGCTGCTAATATATTTGAAAGATAAGTTATCATGCAGTTATGGATGTTGTATAAGGAAAAAAGAGATTAGATAGAAAGTGTCATTGAAAAATAAAAACATTAACTTAATCAAGCTCAAATCATATAATTAAGAATGATAGCAAAAGAAGAGTAAAGGTCTGCAGTTAAAATTTTGAGAATGGTTGGGTCTAGTAATGTTGACTTCATAATAGACCTTAAGGATTAATTGTTCTAAATCTCACTAAGATTTGCAAAAGAAAAGAACCTAGACTTCATCATAATGAAGGAAGCTCTTGTTACCTATGAAAAAATCATAATTCATTAAATGAAAAAGCAAAAGCAAAGAAACGATGAATAATAGAATTAGTAGCAGCAGATTACTGAGATTGATAAGAAATACCTTTTTGAGATGTTCAATGTAATTATTAAGAGTTTTGGCACTGAAAATCTAGATTGGTTCTGTGCTACTGAAGCTATACTGAATACCCTTTTCAATATTAAAACAAGAAATTCACCAGAGTATGCTAAGTTTTTCATTCAGAAACTTACTGAGTCAATGTATCAGTCGAACAGGCAATCTGAGAATGATGATGGCATTCAAAGTCTTGAAAATGATAACTTGATGAGCTAAACTTAGCAATCTTTTGGAAATCTAGATCAATTGAGATAAGATATCAATGACTTTCACTATGCATAAATATTCTTTGTAGTTGGGCATGTAGCCATAAAGATGTTGACATTTATAGAATAGATTGACAACCAACTCAAGAAATCTGGCACCGAGACATTCAATCAGAGAGGGCCTAAGAATGACAAAGGCGACGGAGATAAAAAGGAAGAAGATGAATTAGATCAAATTGCTGGAGGTAAAGAAGCTGAAATTGAGCAGTACTCTCAGACACTTAAGAAAATCATTGAGGAATCTCTAATATAAGAGGGACTTTTGGGCAGATTCTTGCCTCCAATGCTAGCAGTGAGCTAAATGGCATTACAGAAACATCAGAACCAGGCTGTCTAGAATCAGCCAGTAAATATTTGCATCCTTGAAAGATCAGCTATTCTAGCTCTTTGTAAATATATGTGCGTCTCTGAATTAATATGCTAACAGCATCTAGATGTGATAATTGGCTTATTAAAGTCAGAGATAGAATTTGGTGTGAAAGCTAACATTATCATTTCGCTGGGAGATCTTTTTAACAGATTCCCAAATACACTGAATGAAAGAACCAAGGACATATTCATGTTACTGCATGACCCTTAGAATCTAGTTCGCAGACAAGCACTAATGGTCATTACTCATTTGATCCTTAATGACATGATGAAACTGAAGGGTGAAATAGTGGATATTTGCATGCTCCTAGAAGATTAAGATGAAAGAATTAGAGATCAAGTCAAGCTTTTCTTGCATGAGCTTCACACTAAAGGCAATAATAACATTTACAATCTTTTCCCAAAAGCAATAAGCAGATTGTCTAAGGAATTCTAAGATTTATCAATGGAAGAATTCTAGAATATAGCTAAGAATCTTCTAGATCACATCGATAAAGATAAATAGACTGAGTAAATTGTAGAAAAGCTGTGTTTGAAATTCAGAAGTTCAGAAAATCCTATCGAGTGGAGAAATACTGCCTACTGCTTGTCCTAGTTAAAGTATACTGAAAAGATATTTATCAAGCTTATGGAATACTATGATTTCTATAAGGATATCATCCTAAAGAATAATGAAGTGAGAATTTATTTTGCTACGCTAGTGGCAACTCTGAAAAAATAGTTCAGTAATAAACCTGATTTAAGAAAGTTCCTTGAGGAGTATGAAATGAAGATATTAGCTTCAGACGAACAAGCATAGCTCAACTTGAAGCAGATTTAGATTGTTGGAGGTGTTGGAAGTATATCCAAGCAAAGACCTAAGGGCAAGAAAGTTCAAATTCAACAAAAAGCAGGGGAAAATAATAATATGGAGCTTGATGATGATGAGGAGGTCAAGGAAAATCTAAATATTAGCAATGTTACATCGGCGAGATAGAGCAACCAAAATACTAAGAAGAGAAAAATTGCTGATATTTCAAATCAAAGGTTAGTACAAAAGGGCAAGGCTTAGTAGTAGAATATAGAAATAATAAGTTCAGATGAGGAAATGATGTGATAAATCTAAGAAATAATAGTTAGTTTTTAATTGAATTGCTTGATTTCATAATAATTAATAATTCAAAATTTCTTCGTTATTTCTCTGATAATATCACTCTGGGGTTTTGGGGTTTTGGGGTTTTGGGGTTTTGGGG